AGGTAAAGTGCAACTACCAGAAATTGAAACACCACCTGACGCATCGTCAGCGAGCTAAATGCTTTAATGAACGAGCACAATGAATTGTTGAAAATATTCAAATTACATATGCACCAATTACAAAGCGATAATCACGCTATCGTGATTAATCCTGATAAAACACAAGCTGGAGAGCATATTCGTAGATTCAATGCACCCGTTATTATACCCTTGCAGAGCAAAAGGGTATTATAATTTCAGTCAGAAGTTTGCAACGCAGTGAAGGAGACACCTCAGACCCCATAAAGTATATATATTCTTGATCAGCATCACGAGCAGAATAGAAATATGTATGTACGTCTGTCCGTCTGTCCGTCTGTCCGTCTGTCTGTCTGTCTGTCTGTCCGTCTGTCCGTCTGTCCGTCTGTCCTCCTGTCGGTTTCTATGTAAACTAGTCTCTCAGTTTTAAAGCTATCTCGCTGAAACTTTCCCAAAAGTTGTGTAGTTGTTGCACGCAGTATATAAGTCGGAATGGGCCGGATCGGCCGACTATATCGGATAGCTCCAATACAAGAGAATGAAATAAAAAATTCTCACTCTATTGTTTTTCATCAGATCGACTTGAATTCTTCAAGATGGCGTTTTCTAACTGTTATTGAATTTCGGATTAAATTTGATCAAAATCGGATAACTCTATCATATAGCTGCCATAGGAGGGATCGAAAATTATATATAGAATTAATGGAAATAAATTAATAACATCGTTGTTTTTCATCAGACAAGTATGATTTTTGGAATATAGAGTGTTCCTACGACTCTTGAATTACGAGTTAAATTTGATCAAAATCGGACAACTATATCGTAAGCTCCCATATGATCTAAAGTCAAAAATATGGAAAATGAATAGAAAAATCGTCTTAGCTTCGATGTTGTCTAGCCTTTATGCGTTTTGTTCGACATATTTGATGACTGCAAGGGTATATAAGCTTCGGCTTGCCGAAGCTAGCTTCCCTTTCTTGTTGATGATGTTGCTGGAATCAAGGTTGGCGATTGTACATCTGCACGAGAAATTGTGATTCGTAGAAGAAATAATAATCGTCACGACTACGATACTTACGATATAATCAACTAAAGCTGCGCGCGGAAAAGTACATTCATTTGCAGCTTAGATTTAAGAACACCATGTTTTTCACACGGACAATTATACGTGGCATGCTCTCGAGTGGGTAAACCATCCAGTTTGTTTGTATTAGCAAAAGATGGACTCACAAAAAATATTGTTCACGCTATAGCATTAAGAGACTGATATTGTTTAATAGTGTTACTGTCGTAATTTATTAATTAATGATATATAACTATAAGTAATAAATTATTATAACTTATTAAAAATAATTTTTGCTTTTTGTTATTTTTATATTCCCTCATGGTTTATAGCGCTCTAGATGACTTTATAATACATAAGTATAGAACTGAGTAAATTTTGTAGAGAAATTATAAAGTCATCTGGTGGCAAAAGAACGTTTGCCGGGTCAGCTAGTATATATATTTATTTTAAAAATTTAATAAGACTTTTTTTTATGGTAGTCTTCCCCTATATTTAGAGTAATTATCCATTCCCTTAATAAAAATGTCCCTCTTTTCGCTGGTTAACTAATACCAAATTGCCCCATCTGCTTGGGCAGCAGTTTTTAAATTAATGTATGGTATGGTTAATAAATCTAAGTAAACTCATGCATATACATACATACATAACTAATGTAGTGCTATAACTATTTCAAAAACCTTTAGTCCAGCTTCTGCACTATCCTCACCAATAAACATATTTGAAGAAAGTCTCAATCGCTTTCAACCAAATAATAGCAACATTAATTATTTTTCAACACCCAAATAGTGATCTGAAAGCAACTATTGTATCGTCAGGAGGTAACAAAAATAGTTGGGTGATCACCGTTTATATACTTCTTGTGATATTGAGAACAACTGTTAATTTTGAAACGTTTCACAACACATTTTTGTAGCATTTAAGAACACCTTTTATATCTATAATATAGTCGATATATGTATGTAAGTCGTAAGATGTAAGCAGAAGAGCGAGAAGCCATGATACAATTATACAAGGTAGTCCACTCGGCAAATTAGGGGACTAATACGCAATACAACTACATATACAACGCACGCACTGAAAATAAGGGACCAAACCCGAACGACTTCGGCAAGCCGAGTGAACTACCTTGTATAATTGTATCATGCGAGAAGCTAAGTGAAGCGCAGGAAAAGACGCTTGGTTATGCTTTCCCTTCACAACATTATGACATTGTGTTGAAAAGTGGAAGCCGGACTTTTTATACCCTTGCCTAATTTTAGTCAGAAGTTTGCAACTCAGTGAAGGAGACGCCTCAAAGAGAAATTTTTTCATTTTTTCGTGTGGGTCTCCGATATAGTCGCCAGATCCGGCCCGTTCCGACTTATATACTGCGTGCAATAACTACAGAACTTTTGGTAAAGTTTCAGCAAGATAGCTTTAAAAGACTAGTTTAAATAGAAACATACAGACGGACAGACGTACAGACGTATTTTTTTTTTTGAAGTGAAAACTTCTTTAGCGGCGCTGAGCACTTTTTTGTATGGGTAAAAACTTTCAAACTCGCGTCAGAGTCCCGTTATGCTGATCGAAAAAGCGTAAGATCGTGAACTAGTATCTCCCACTCTTTCTACCGCGCCTGAGTCATGGTACAATTATACAAGGTAGTCTCGTCGGCTCGTCACTCCCCTATCGACACTACAATTAGAGCGAGAGAAAGAGTGTTTTTCCTACGAAAACCCGAGCTTTCGGGTCGATAGGGTGTAAGCCCGAACAATTCTGTAGCCGTCGAGACTACCTTGGAGGGGCGCACAGAGGTAGTCTGGGGCCCGGGCTAAAAATTCAATTTTGGGAGATTGTCAATCCTTACATATCATCATATATCATATCGCGCGGGGCCCCCATAAGCCCGGGTAGAGGTGGAGAACTATCGATAGTCTGCACCATCGATAGCGCTTGATAGTTTTCATAAACTATCGACTATCGGCGATAGCAAAGAAAATCTATCGTCGATAGTTGTCGATAGTGCAGAGTATACTCAAAAAAAATAATTTAATTAGTGTTTCTAATGATATTTATTTATATATAAAGTATTTATTTATAAAGTATTACATTGGTTTTCCAATCTTTCGAATTATATGATTTTTTTTTTGGCCTTACCTTAACTGCTTTTTATAAATTTATATATGTTCGGCGTTTTCCTTTAATTAAATGTATACTTTTATTATTATGTATTTATCTTTGTGAAAAAGAAACGCATGTACAGTGGTGGCCATAAGTATTTTGTCAAAATAAAAGTGAAATATACTCGAAACCTGAACTTGCTTCTTTTAACTTTTGGTATCGATGGATAGGTAATTCAAATGCCTTTTGAATGATACCATACGTTTCTCAACTCATTCGATATTTATTGAAAAGGCCAATTTTAAAAAAAAAGTAAAAAAAACTTTTTCCCTCGGCTTCAAAACTAAAATTTTTGGATGCAAAAAGTTTCTTTAATCAAAAATAATAGGAACTGCAAAAAGAATTTTTCAAAAATAATTTTTCTTCTATTTTTTATGATTTTTTGAAGGTGACAATGTCGGAAAAAGTTTGTATGGAAAAGAGAAAAATATGGCTGAAATGCGTATTTCTAGTCATTTTCAAAAAATCATAAAAAATAGAAGAAAAATTATTTTTGAAAAATTCTTTTTGCAGTTCCTATTATTTTTGATTAAAGAAACTTTTTGCATCCAAAAATTTTAGTTTTGAAGCCGAGGGAAAAAGTTTTTTTTTTACTTTTTTTTTTAAAATTGCCCTTTTCAATAAATATCGAATGAGTTGAGAAAAGTATGGTATCATTCAAAAGGCATTTGAATTACCTTTCCATTGATTACAAAAGTTAAAAGAAGCAAGTTCAGGTTTCGAGTATATTTCACTTTTATTTTGACAAAATATTTATGGCCACCACTGTATGTATATATGCGTATGTATTTCACAACAAACCGTAATAGCAGTAATGGCATCTCACGTAGCACTTTTGTTATTGTCACACAAAATTTGGCTTTTAACTTTATAATACAAAATTACAATATAACAACAAAATAACAATATCTTACCTATTTGAAGAAAACGATCCATTATGTTTTTAATAACAATTTATATAACTCTGTAACAATTTCGCGCAATTGCCTTTCCTTTACACTTTTAACGTAGACATGGGAAAACCAAAATATCGACAACAATCGACGATAGCGATTGACCACTATCGAGAGTGCGCGCAGCTATCGATTGCGTATCGATAGTGGCAAACCATCGATAGTCCCGATAGTGCCATCGATAGTTCTCCACCTCTAAGCCCGGGCCCGGGGCAAATTTCCCTCGCACTCATTGTAGTGCCCAATAGGGGGAAAAAAGCCGACGAGACTACCTTGTACTTACACTTAAATAGGTTCGAATCAAAACTGTTTGTTTCTTACTTCAGTTATCATAAACCAATTGTATCAGTTGTAAAAATTTGCGATGATGATTCTGACAATAACGATGGTGTAAAAGTCGTCGAAATTATGGATGGAAGTTGACTTTTCTGAGAGATAAAATTTAATGTAATATGTATATAAATAACGATTTAATATTATAAATAACAACATATAAATTGCCATATTTGTGTACGATAGCGCAATAAATAAACATTGTATTCTACCTCTCTCATAAATGATAGTACTTTTATACTTATAATTAAACACAACGTTAATATTTAAGTTTTCACTTCTGCCGGCACTCCCGGAGTGCTACCGGTGTTTTTTTTTTTTGTTAGATTTTTATGTCAAGCTGTTTTAACTGCAGGAGATTCTTTAGTTTATTGGTATTATTTTATAAATTAATCTAGATATTCAAAAGCACAATGCAAATTTTATTTGGTACTTAAAGAAATAAAAAATAATTTAAATTTGTAACTTACTTCAAAGGCATATCGTAGTCCGTCCCACGGCTTAATGGGCATTTCTCCAGCCATTCGTGAGCCTAATAGATCCCAATTGGTGTAGTTGTGAATATATTCGACTAGGCCAGCTGGTGTTACCTCTTGTAGACCTTCAATATTGAAATCAGCAGGAAATCCACTGAGAAAGGTGATGTTGTGGCCTCTGAAATTTACAAGTGCGTTTGTTGATCTATAAATTTAAACTCAAAAGGAAAGATGGGAATGATGATGTATTCAATAAAAAGTGTATAAAGGTTTAAAGAAAGTTCTTGAAACATTGTAATGATTACAATCATCGGTCGTATAACTGGGAGTAAAGGCGACGTTTCGCAACTTTCTCATTTTTGTAGTTTAAGGCAGTGGTCTGCTTTACAGACTTCAAAAAATCGCTATTTTTCTGTCTTAAATCTATTCCAAAACTATCCAAGGATATGTGTTCAAAATTTTAGAGGCCAATTCGACATATTTTCGAAGCTAGATCAGTTTTAGTGGCCGAGCGTCGAGCAGGTGCGTATGCTCGGGCAGACTTTACAGCCCGTTTTCTCGAGTTTTTATTTTCGCAAGTTATGGAAAACGGTGCCGGCCATAGTAAAAAAAATATATGTCCGATCGAAAAAAACCAAAGTGATCTAGCTTCAGTATTGAATTATCTTCTATTTGAACTAAAAAAATGGATAAAAGTACTATTTAAATTACTTATTTTGCAACTTAAAGTCAACTTTTTTTTCCAAAAAAGTAATTTTTTTTTAAACTTAGAAAAAATTTGGAATTTCGTAATTTCTTCGAAATTTTTTTAGTTCATATAGAAAAGGAACTTATAAAAACTAAAAAAAAATTAGGTTCCACTATTTCAGATGCATCGCACGAACTCCATCACCGGCACCGATTTACAAGTGCACACTCCAGGCGCCCCAGAAAAATTGTTACAACTTCCACTATTTTCAATTATTGTATTTGCAATAATAAAAATTGTTTTTTAAAGTTTAATTATAATATTATATCGTCTCAAAATTTCGTTTAACGCAATCATTTCCTTCCCTTGTTGAATTGTTGAAAAAACGCTCTTTTTTCGGCTCCTAAAGCAGACCACTGCCTTAAAACATTAATGCAATTTTTATACCCTTGCAGTCGGTAATATTTTAAAATGATTCATTTCAGTCAGCAGTTTGCAAAAAACAAGAAAGAAAGCTAGCTTCGGCTAGCCGAGCATATCTAGCCTTGCAGTCATAAATTATGTCTAACAAAACACATAAAGGCTGACCAACATCGAAGCTTTGACGATTTTTCTATTAATTTTCTATGTTTCCGACTATTTTTCATATGACGGCTATATGATATAGTCGTCCGATTTTGATGAAATGTATTTTGAAATTCAAGAATCTCTATATTCCAAAAATCATGCTTGTCTGATGAAAAAAATGATGTTTTAATTTTATTTTCGTTAATTCTGTATAAATCTTTCGATCTTTCAAATGGCAGCTATATGATATAGTTTTCCGATTTTTATGAAATTATTTTCTTAGTTTAAGGGTAGTTAAGGGGTTATATACCTTTTTGAGCGAAAAAAATGGGGGAACTTTGGATTTTTTTTCAGGTGTGTAGCAATTATTTTATGATACTGAGGTTATTATTTATTGATAGTACATGTTTTTATAGACACAACAAACGTTTGTTCTTAAAAAAATATAAATAACTTTCGAAGTTATGACAATTCTCTAATAACCCTTTTTTTGTTATAGCGGCTTGCGGTGACCACGATGGAAGTCCAGCGGGTCAACTAAAATCAATAAACCAAAAATTTTTTATTAGTTTAGTATTATTTCTTGTTCGTCATTGAATTACTTCAAGAATATTTGGTTTTTTCTGAATACAGTAACAATTTTTTCAAAAAATTGCATTTTCGAGCTCTAAAAATTTTATTAAAAATTTCTTATCTGCAAAATCGAAATTGCCGCATAAAAACTGATTCAATGACGAACTCGGCACAATCATTACGAATATTTTAAAAAAAATTGAAGAAGATCGATCAAATAGTTCTTGTGCAATCGCGGTCACAGCAAAGGCACTTTTGGAAAAAAACGACTTTGAGATAATCGCATTCAAAGTTTTACGTTGCGTTACAAAGAGTGACGAACCGCGCCTCAAAACGCTGTTTTGCTATCGAACTATTATTCGGATCTCTTCAAAAATTTGGGAAAATGTTCTCTAGGGGATATACTTTAGGATTCAGCTAAAAAAATTTTTTCGTTTTTTTGAAAAAAAAAAAGGTATATAACCCCTTAAAAAACTGGAAATTCTAAAAAGCATGTCAATATGATAAAAAAAACACCGACGTTATAATTTTTATACCCTTGCAGAGCAAAAATTTGGCCAGAAGTTTGCAACGCAGTGAAGGAGACACCTTAGACCCCATAAAGTATATATATTCTTGATCAGCATCACCATCTGAATCGAAATACGTCTGTACGTCTGTACGTCTGTACGTCTGTCCGTCTGTCCGTCTGTCCTCCTGTCCGTTTCTGCCCAAACTAGTCTCTCAGTTTTAAAGCTATCTTGCTGAAACTTTCCCAAAAGGTGTGTAGTTATTGCACGCAGTATATAAGTCGGAACGGGCCGGATCGGGCGACTATATAGGATAGCTCCCATACAAGAGATTGAAATACAAAATTCTAACGCCGTTGTTTTTGATCAGATCGACTTCATTTCTTCCACATGGCGTTTTCTAGTTACTATTGAATTTCGGGTAAAATTTTATCGAAATCGGACAACTCTATCATATAGCTGCCATAGGAGAGATCAAAAAATATACATATATCGAATTAATGGAAATTAATTGATAACGTCATTGTTTTTCAAAACACGACTATGATTTTTTAAGTATCAAGTTTTTTAACTAGCCTTGGTTCATAAAAAAAATTTCATAAAAATCGGACAACTATATCATATAGCTGCCATAGGAAAGATCGAAAAATCTATATAGAATTAACGGAAATAAAATGATAACATCGTTATTTCTCATCAGAAAATCATGATTTTTTGAATATAGAGTTTTCTAACGACTCTTGAAATTTCATCAAAATCGGACGACTATATCATATAGCTGCCATATGAAAAATAGTCAAAAATATGGAAAATTAATGGAAAAGTCGTCGTAGCTTCGATGTTGTTTAGCCTTTGTGTATTCTGTTCGAAATATTTGATGACTGCAAGCTTCGGCTTGCCGAAGCTAGCTTCCTTTCTTGTTTTTCATTACCTATTTATAAAATTTTTCGATCTTTCCTATGGCAACTGTATGATAGAGTTATCAGATTTTAATAAAATTTATCTGAAAAACGATAGTAGTTAAAAAACACCTGAAGAAATTAGTCGATACGATTGAAAACAACGTGATTATGTTTTGTTTCAATTTCTCATATGGGAGCTATCCGATATAGTCGCCCGATTCGTCCTGTTCCGACTTATATTCTGCGTGCAATAACACAATTTTTGGAAAAGTTCCAGCAAGATGGCTTCAAAACTGAGAGACTAGTTTGCATAGAAACAGACAGATGTACAAACGTATTTTGATTCAGATCGTCATGCTGATCAATATATAAAAATCTTTATTGGGTCCTGGGGGTCTCCTTCGCTACGTTGCAAACTTCTGACTGAAATTATAATACCCTATTGTTCTGCAAGGGTATGAAAATGATAACATCGTTTTTTTTTCGTCAGACAAGCATAATTTTTGAAGAATAGAGTTTTCTAATGACTCTTGAATTTCGAATTAAATTTCATAAGAATCAGACGACTATAATCTACAGTGGCTCACAGCTTAAAGTATGCAGTGCATACTTTTAACTTTAAACGCCCATAGCGGTAAAACTATAAGGAATATTGGAATAAACAAGGTGCCAAATGAAAGATTAACTTATTTAGAATAACGTAACAAAATCATTTATTTTCAAAAACGGCTTAAACACAAAAAAAAAACTTTAAAAATGAAAAATACAGCTTATATTCAGCTCACAGCTTATTTTATGCAGTTAGTTTTCTCAGTAACTACGCTGGAAATTCCATGGAATTTTTCCGTTTTTTTGGCGTTGCTAGCTTTGCAATTCTTCTTTATTTTCGTGTGCTTGTCATTTACTCTTATTCTTGATCTCAACGACTCCGGATAGGCGATTTTTAAAATGAGTCCACGCACAACATTAGAACAACGGGAATTGGTTATATACCATTTCAAAAACCATATCTCCCAGCGTAAAATTGCTGAAATAGTGAACATAAAGCCTCCAACAGTGCAAAAAATTATCGAGCGCTTCGTTCACGAGAATCGTTTGGAAAATAAAGGACGCCAAGCACCAAACAAGATTTTCACTGATGCAGATGAGCGGTACATAGTTCGGAAAATCAAGGCTAATCCGAGACTATCAGCACCAAAACTTGCATCCGAAGTTAAGGCTGGTCTTGGCAAAAATTGTTGCGATGAAACAATTCGACGAGTCCTACGTAACAATGACTATAATGGCCGCGTAGCTCGTAAAAAGCCATTCATAAGCCCAAAGAATAGGTTAGCTCGCCTAAAATATGCAAAAGATCACCTTTCCAAGACCCCCGACTTCTGGAAAACTGTGATATTTGCAGACGAATCCAAATATAATATATTTGGATCAGATGGTAACGCTTATGTATGGCGGAAGCCCAATACAGAGCTTGAACCAAAGAACCTGAAGGCAACGGTTAAGCACGGCGGTGGCAGCGTGATGGTTTGGGCCTGTGTGTCAGCTGCTGGCCCTGGAAAACTGACTTTTATTGAATCGATAATGGATAAAAAAGCATACCTTCAAATATTAAAGGACAATTTGGTCCAAAGTGCCGAGGATCTTGGAATAAAAGACAATTTCCGCTTTTATCAGGATAATGATCCAAAGCACAAGGCTGGAATTGTGCGGATGTGGTTGCTGTACAATTGCCCTCACGTTGTGGATACGCCGGCTCAGTCACCGGACCTCAACGTTATTGAAAATTTATGGGCCATTTTGGATAATAATTTGAGAAATTACCATATTTCTAACAAAAATGATTTAAAAGATGCCCTAATGAAGGAGTGGGGAAAGATCTCGTCAGAAGTCACCCAAAAATTGGTTGAATCAATGCCGAAAAGGCTGAAAGATGTCGTTG